TCACTGTGCGTTGACTGTGGGGTAAACGGGTCAAGCACAGTCCGACGTTTGCAGGGCTGGTTGGTTGGACACACCACAAATTAGAACGGCCTCTTTACTAGAAGAAGCAAAGCAAGTGCGCAATGAAATTCTTACGCGTGTCTTTGTTCCGGATAGAGTCAAAGGAAGGTTCATTTTACCCGACTTAATAATCTCAAACTTGCTTGCAGACGTAAATTTCATTCGTCTCGGTATTTAATTTAATACAGTCCTTAAATTATTTGTGAATTTTAATATTAAATAATTTTTTTTAATTTAATACTTATATTGAATTAAGTTATCAAATCACTTTATTAAATTTTTTGGTGTCTTGAAAAATATTATTACATCTTATATNCGTCACCTCCACCCCCATCACCATTCCTACCGCCCAACCACCACCTTCCCCACCGTCACCTCCACCTTCATCATCACCATATCGTTACCGTCATTGTCCTACCATCACCCCTACCACCATCACCACTCCCACCCCCACGACCATCACCACTGACACCGTCATCACCCCACCATCGCCACTATCGCTCTCGATCACTACCATCACTCATTCCCACTATAATCGGTGCTTAAATTCTTTTTTCTCTTTTCTATATTTGTGATTTGATTTCAATTGTAAATATAAATATATTTATTATTGATCATTTTTTTTATTATTTTGTATCTTCAGACACAAATAATAACTAATATATATAGTACTGAATTAATTTCTAAAATTAAAATTTCAAATGTTAGGCACAAACATGTTTTATTATTGACACCGGGTATAACCGGTGTCGACAAAGATTACTCTGAGTTGACTTTCTAGTTAACCGGCTAACGCCGTTAAGGGACAAAAAACTACGATAGAGAAAGAACAAGGAAGATCACTGTGCGTTGACTATGGGGTAAACGGGTCAAGCACAGTCCGACGTTTGCAGGGCTGGTTGGTTGGACACACCACAAATTAGAACGGCCCTTTACTAGAAGAAGCAAAGCAAGTGCGCAATGAAATTCTTACGCGTGTCTTTGTTCCGGATAGAGTCAAAGGAAGGTTCATTTTAGCCCACTTAATAATCTCAAACTTGCTTGCAGACGTAAATTTCATTCGTCACGGTATTTAATTTAATACAGTCCTTAAATTATTTGTGAATTTTAATATTAAATATNCACAACCATCACTATCTCCCACCATCACCATTGTCGCCCACCACCAATATCACTGCTCACCCCCGCTACAATCGGTACTTGAATTTATTTATCTCTCTTCTATGTTTGTGATTTAATTTTGAGTGTGAATACAAATATGTTGGCATTTTTTTTATTACTCTGATGACTAATATTAACATTCCAAATTTAATAGGAATAATAGGTGCATAATAATGTGTTTGTGATGACTTTTTAAAAGTGCTTTTCATATTTATAATTTCTCATAAGTTTTTTGTTTTTTAAATAGTGTTTGGAACCACAACTATCACCACCACCCCCATCGCCCCACCACCATCACACTACCACCACCACCCCACCACCATTATCATTACCACTACTACCTCCACCGTCGTCATCCCACCACCACACCCACCGCTATTGTCGCCACCCCACCACCGCCATCACCACCCCTACCACCACTATTACTGCCACCACCATACCATTCCCCCATTGCCCCACAACTACCACACCACCACCACCTCTGCCACAACAACCACCATCACCATCATTACTCCTACCATCACCACCGTCGCCACACTCTTGCCACCCCACCACCACCACCACCACCGTCCCCACTATACCCACCACCACCACCACCACCGTCACCTCCACCCCCATCACCATTCCTACCGCCCAACCACCACCTTCCCCACCGTCACCTCCACCTTCATCATCACCATACCGTTACCGTCATTGTCCTACCATCACCCCTACCACCATCACCACTCCCACCCCCACGACCATCACCACTGACACCGTCATCACCCCACCATCGCCACTATCGCTCTCGATCACTACCATCACTCATTCCCACTATAATCGGTGCTTAAATTCTTTTTTCTCTCTTCTATATTTGTGATTTGATTTCAATTGTAAATATAAATATATTTATTATTGATCATTTTTTTTATTATTTTGTATCTTCAGACACAAGTAATAACTAATATATATAGTACTGAATTAATTTCTAAAATTAAAATTTCAAATGTTAGGCACAAACATGTTTTATTATTGACACTGGGTATAACCGGTGTCGACAAAGATTACTCTGAGTTGACTTTCTAGTTAACCGGCTAACGCCGTTAAGGGACAAAAAACCACGATAGAGAAAGAACAAGGAAGATCACTGTGCGTTGACTGTGGGGTAAACGGGTCAAGCACAGTCCGACGTTTGCAGGGCTGGTTGGTTGGACACACCACAAATTAGAACGGCCTCTTTACTAGAAGAAGCAAAGCAAGTGCGCAATGAAATTCTTACGCGTGTCTTTGTTCCGGATAGAGTCAAAGGAAGGTTCATTTTACCCGACTTAATAATCTCAAACTTGCTTGCAGACGTAAATTTCATTCGTCTCGGTATTTAATTTAATACAGTCCTTAAATTATTTGTGAATTTTAATATTAAATAATTTTTTTTAATTTAATACTTATATTGAATTAAGTTATCAAATCACTTTATTAAATTTTTTGGTGTCTTGAAAAATATTATTACATCTTATATTTTTATGTTTTAACAATTTAAAAAATATGAGTTATATATCGAATTTAAATGGACATTTGGATTAGTATTACTTGTTAAATTTAGGGATTCTTTTTGATTATGTATATTATCAAAAATATAATTTTATTATAATAGATGATAATTTATTGGTGAGATCTTTTATTATGTACGTCAAGAAGAAAATTTCATTGTATGGCACAAACAGGTTTTGTTATTGACACTAACCGGTTACTATACCCAAAGGCAGAGAATAAAACAGCAAAGATTACTCTGTTGACTTTGTGTTTAACCGGCTAGCGCCGTTAAGGGAGAGAATTCCACGAGAGGCAAAGAACAAGGAACATCAATCTGAGTTGACTATGGGGGGTTAACGGGTCAAGCACAATCCGACGTTTGCACGGCTAGCTGGTTTGGACACACCAAATTGGAACGGCTAGTTTACTATAAGAAGCATAGCAAGTGCGCAATGAGATGCTTGCACGTGTACGCCGTTATGCAGAAAGTCATAGGAAGGTTCATGTATGTAGCCGACTCACGTAGATGTCCGAAAAACGAAACTTAACAGCACCTCCCCCCCTCTCTCTCTCTCTCCTCTCTCCTGTGTGCATATGTGTCTGTATATTCCTATATATAGAGAGTAGGGCGATTCCGCTTAGATTCATATTCACTAATCCTCACCTGGTACCGTCTCCCTTACATTACATTTCTTCCATTAATCGTACAAGTAAGTAATGTGTTAATTTCTCGTACAAGCACCACATGGTGGTCATGTGGTGCCGCGCTATCGCATAGCATGTAAACATCTTTCAAGTTTCTAACAACTAAACTAATTATGTGTCCTCCAGGGCGGATCAAACCGGCGGAGAGAGATGGAGAAGAAGGCAATAGAGAAGGTTTCCGATCAGGAGGAAGCTTCAACTAAAAGCAGCAATATTATGAACATGTACCCATTTGTAACTCCAGTCAGGGGAACCATCAAGCGTCGGATCTTTGCATGCTTCCTCCGTAATCTCAAACTTGCTTGCAGACGTGTCTTTCATTCATCTAGGGACGACCTTANAACACATCTGCATAGCACAGGACTACAATGACACCCCACCTGCGACGCTGCCAGCCCGCCGATGTCGGGTATCTTCATTCTCTACAATGTTGGACAACCACCACCACTGCTAGTACTTATTTCAATTTCAAGTATATCTGGCAATTGTCTCTGTCGNTGTAAACATCTTTCAAGTTTCTAACAACTAAACTAATTATGTGTCCTCCAGGGCGGATCAAACCGGCGGAGAGAGATGGAGAAGAAGGCAATAGAGAAGGTTTCCGATCAGGAGGAAGCTTCAACTAAAAGCAGCAATATTATGAACATGTACCCATTTGTAACTCCAGTCAGGGGAACCATCAAGCGTCGGATCTTTGCATGCTTCCTCCGTAATCTCAAACTTGCTTGCAGACGTGTCTTTCATTCATCTAGGGACGACCTTAATTCAATGTATTCGTTGAATTAGTTATCAGTTTCATTTTTAATACAATATTTACGCTGAATTAAATCTCCAAATTACATCATCAAATTAAATCTTAATAGCATTTTTGACAATAAAGTCAAAAGGCTTACCTTTGTTTCTATTTTTTATTTGATGAATAAGTGAGACTTCTTTCGATCTTTTTTTTTTCANGTACGTCAAGAAGAAAATTTCATTGTATGGCACAAACAGGTTTTGTTATTGACACTAGGTTTATTTATTTTAACCGGTTACTATACCCAAAGGCAGAGAATAAAACAGCAAAGATTACTCTGTTGACTTTGTGTTTAACCGGCTAGCGCCGTTAAGGGAGAGAATTCCACGAGAGGCAAAGAACAAGGAACATCAATCTGAGTTGACTATGGGGGGTTAACGGGTCAAGCACAATCCGACGTTTGCACGGCTAGCTGGTTTGGACACACCAAATTGGAACGGCTAGTTTACTATAAGAAGCATAGCAAGTGCGCAATGAGATGCTTGCACGTGTACGCCGTTATGCAGAAAGTCATAGGAAGGTTCATGTATGTAGCCGACTCACGTAGATGTCCGAAAAACGAAACTTAACAGCACCTCCCCCCCTCTCTCTCTCTCTCCTCTCTCCTGTGTGCATATGTGTCTGTATATTCCTATATATAGAGAGTAGGGCGATTCCGCTTAGATTCATATTCACTAATCCTCACCTGGTACCGTCTCCCTTACATTACATTTCTTCCATTAATCGTACAAGTAAGTAATGTGTTAATTTCTCGTACAAGCACCACATGGTGGTCATGTGGTGCCGCGCTATCGCATAGCATGTAAACATCTTTCAAGTTTCTAACAACTAAACTAATTATGTGTCCTCCAGGGCGGATCAAACCGGCGGAGAGAGATGGAGAAGAAGGCAATAGAGAAGGTTTCCGATCAGGAGGAAGCTTCAACTAAAAGCAGCAATATTATGAACATGTACCCATTTGTAACTCCAGTCAGGGGAACCATCAAGCGTCGGATCTTTGCATGCTTCCTCCGTAATCTCAAACTTGCTTGCAGACGTGTCTTTCATTCATCTAGGGACGACCTTAATTCAATGTATTCGTTGAATTAGTTATCAGTTTCATTTTTAATACAATATTTACGCTGAATTAAATCTCCAAATTACATCATCAAATTAAATCTTAATAGCATTTTTGACAATAAAGTCAAAAGGCTTACCTTTGTTTCTATTTTTTATTTGATGAATAAGTGAGACTTCTTTCGATCTTTTTTTTTTCATTGTCTCTCTTTGATGGATGACTTACCGCTAATGCAAGTAGCACCCATTATAAATTAGTGAATTTCTGACTAATTAATGGTTGGTGAAAATATCTAAAAAAATTTAATATCAACCTTGACAGAGTATGAAGAATTCCAAAATCAAGGTCCTTCATAAAATTAATTTCACTCTTAAATTCAACTGTCTCTACCGTACAACCCGCAAACACCATGTTTTTAATGAAAAAGTTGCTATGAATAAAGTTTCTGATTTTTTGGTACTCCAAAGTGGTAGTTTATCTAAGTTCCTTCACACTGCCATCGTTTTTATTCTACGGGAGGATAAGTTTTTCTCCCTCTTCTCACAAATTGGCATGGTTCTCAAGATTGTTAAGTTTTAATTTGTTAATTTCTTCGCTCCTAGGCCCTTCGACCACCATCAATCATGAGTGTACACACTTAGAGTCCCATTCTACCTCTCTTTCTCTCTCTTCTCACACTAGAGTTCCATTTCTCTTCTACCTCTCTCTCTCTCAGCCACACCTCTTCTTCACTCAGTTCAGATAACACACACAAACACGCTAGACTGCCATTCTAACTCTCTCTCTCTCACACACACACACACTAAAGTCCCATCTCTTTTTTACCTCTCTCTCTCTCTCAGTCACGTATCTTCCTCACTCAACTCACAAAACACACATAAACACACAAGAGTGTCATTCAACCTCTCTCTTTCTTTCTTTCTTTCTTTCTTTCTTTCTCTCTCTCACACACAAATATACTAGAGTCCCATGTCTATTCTACCTCTCTCTCTCTCTCTCTCACAGTCATGCCTCTTCCTCACTCAGCTCACAAAACACACACAAAACACACTAAAGTCTCATTCTACCTCTCTCTTTCTCTCTCTCTTTCTATTCGGTACACCTCTTCACGTCACTGCCATCGTCACTGCCTCTATATACCACCATTGTCTCCACCATCGCACAACCTCCAAGTGTTTTTTTGTACCTTTCCTCTCCTCTCTACTTTTCATACACAAAAAAAAAAAAAACATCCCCCTTCACAAAACACAGCAAACACATCTGCATAGCACAGGACTACAATGACACCCCACCTGCGACGCTGCCAGCCCGCCGATGTCGGGTATCTTCATTCTCTACAATGTTGGACAACCACCACCACTGCTAGTACTTATTTCAATTTCAAGTATATCTGGCAATTGTCTCTGTCGTTAACACGTCATATCTCTCTTTCTCTCTATAGGCCGTTCTAACCCCACCTGAAAGCTCCATGCATACCAGTTGTTCGATAAATTGTCAAAGTTGATACCACCACCAATTGTCTCCCACAGTCGCAAACTGTCCTTGCGGCATAGCCCGCAGACACCAAGTGGATAAAATTTCTGATTTTTTGGTACTCTAAATTGGGTTTTATCTAAGTTCCTTCTCACTGTCATTGTTTTTATTCATGGGCAGATAAGTTTTTCTCCCTCCTCTCACAAATTGATACGATTCTCAAGATTGTTAATTTTTAATTTGTTAATTTCTTGGGAGAATTATACCAAAATTTTTTTAGATTTGTCACTTAATCACTCAGGTCCTTGACATTTGAAATATTACATACAAACCCCCTAAATTTGTACACACGTAACACTTAGATTCTGTTATAAATATATTTGTTAATAAATTACACTTAAACTCCCTTAAAGTTTGTGAGTATATAATATTTAGACCCTTTAAGGTTAAAATATTATACTTAGACAAAAAAAATACTCCAATCAAATATCNTTCTGACTAATTAATGGTTGGTGAAAATATCTAAAAAAATTTAATATCAACCTTGACAGAGTATGAAGAATTCCAAAATCAAGGTCCTTCATAAAATTAATTTCACTCTTAAATTCAACTGTCTCTACCGNAAATATCAAATATTTTAAATTTTACAACCAAAATTCAAGTTCTATTGTATCATTTATTAAAATAAAATTAAAAATAAAATTTAATTTTTTCTTTAAAAAATCGTAGTTAATATACAATTATACTATCTATTGGAATAAAATTAAAAAATAAAATAATGGGTCTAAGTCATTCATAATATAACATGAATTTTTGTTGTAAAATTTAAAATATTTGATATTTGATTGAAGTATTTCTGGTTTAAGTATAATATTTTAAATTTAAAGGGTTTAAGTATTATATACCCACAAACTTCAGAGGGTCTAAGTGTAATTTATTAAATAAATATATTTACAACNAAACACCATGTTTTTAATGAAAAAGTTGCTATGAATAAAGTTTCTGATTTTTTGGTACTCCAAAGTGGTAGTTTATCTAAGTTCCTTCACACTGCCATCGTTTTTATTCTACGGGAGGATAAGTTTTTCTCCCTCTTCTCACAAATTGGCATGGTTCTCAAGATTGTTAAGTTTTAATTTGTTAATTTCTTCGCTCCTAGGCCCTTCGACCACCATCAATCATGAGTGTACACACTTAGAGTCCCATTCTACCTCTCTTTCTCTCTCTTCTCACACTAGAGTTCCATTTCTCTTCTACCTCTCTCTCTCTCAGCCACACCTCTTCTTCNGGTCTAAGTGTTATGTGCGTACAAACTTTATAGGGTTTGTGCGTAATATTTTAAATGTTAGGGAGTCTAAGTGATTAAGTGATAAACTTCAAGAGATTTGAATGTAATTCTCCCTAATTTCTTTGCTCCTCCTTGTCCCTTCGATGCCATCAATCATGGGCGTTGGTTTCGTGANTCAGTTCAGATAACACACACAAACACGCTAGACTGCCATTCTAACTCTCTCTCTCTCACACACACACACACTAAAGTCCCATCTCTTTTTTACCTCTCTCTCTCTCTCAGTCACGTATCTTCCTCACTCAACTCACAAAACACACATAAACACACAAGAGTGTCATTCAACCTCTCTCTTTCTTTCTTTCTTTCTTTCTTTCTTTCTCTCTCTCACACACAAATATACTAGAGTCCCATGTCTATTCTACCTCTCTCTCTCTCTCTCTCACAGTCATGCCTCTTCCTCACTCAGCTCACAAAACACTCACAAAACACACTAAAGTCTCATTCTACCTCTCTCTTTCTCTCTCTCTTTCTATTCGGTACACCTCTTCACGTCACTGCCATCGTCACTGCCTCTATATACCACCATTGTCTCCACCATCGCACAACCTCCAAGTGTTTTTTTGTACCTTTCCTCTCCTCTCTACTTTTCATACACAAAAAAAAAAAAAACATCCCCCTTCACAAAACACAGCAAACACATCTGCATAGCACAGGACTACAATGACACCCCACCTGCGACGCTGCCAGCCCGCCGATGTCGGGTATCTTCATTCTCTACAATGTTGGACAACCACCACCACTGCTAGTACTTATTTCAATTTCAAGTATATCTGGCAATTGTCTCTGTCGTTAACACGTCATATCTCTCTTTCTCTCTATAGGCCGTTCTAACCCCACCTGAAAGCTCCATGCATACCAGTTGTTCGATAAATTGTCAAAGTTGATACCACCACCAATTGTCTCCCACAGTCGCAAACTGTCCTTGCGGCATAGCCCGCAGACACCAAGTGGATAAAATTTCTGATTTTTTGGTACTCTAAATTGGGTTTTATCTAAGTTCCTTCTCACTGTCATTGTTTTTATTCATGGGCAGATAAGTTTTTCTCCCTCCTCTCACAAATTGATACGATTCTCAAGATTGTTAATTTTTAATTTGTTAATTTCTTGGGAGAATTATACCAAAATTTTTTTAGATTTGTCACTTAATCACTCAGGTCCTTGACATTTGAAATATTACATACAAACCCCCTAAATTTGTACACACGTAACACTTAGATTCTGTTATAAATATATTTGTTAATAAATTACACTTAAACTCCCTTAAAGTTTGTGAGTATATAATATTTAGACCCTTTAAGGTTAAAATATTATACTTAGACAAAAAAAATACTCCAATCAAATATCAAATATCAAATATTTTAAATTTTACAACCAAAATTCAAGTTCTATTGTATCATTTATTAAAATAAAATTAAAAATAAAATTTAATTTTTTCTTTAAAAAATCGTAGTTAATATACAATTATACTATCTATTGGAATAAAATTAAAAAATAAAATAATGGGTCTAAGTCATTCATAATATAACATGAATTTTTGTTGTAAAATTTAAAATATTTGATATTTGATTGAAGTATTTCTGGTTTAAGTATAATATTTTAAATTTAAAGGGTTTAAGTATTATATACCCACAAACTTCAGAGGGTCTAAGTGTAATTTATTAAATAAATATATTTACAACTGGGGTCTAAGTGTTATGTGCGTACAAACTTTATAGGGTTTGTGCGTAATATTTTAAATGTTAGGGAGTCTAAGTGATTAAGTGATAAACTTCAAGAGATTTGAATGTAATTCTCCCTAATTTCTTTGCTCCTCCTTGTCCCTTCGATGCCATCAATCATGGGCGTTGGTTTCGTGAATATGGCATAAAAAATGTCAAGGTTATATTTATATATATTTGATGGAGTGTTGTGTGATGTGTTTGTTCAATGTGTTTGATTTTCTTATTGTCTTGGCTAGCGGGTTCCTATATAGGAATAGAATGTGGCCTCGAAATCATTTTTGTGAGAAATTTTTAGTTCGCATCTTCATGGTGTGGTATGAATCTACTCTCTCTCTCTCTCTCTCTCTCTCTCTCTATTGGACAGTTTCTCTGTAATTCATTTCACTCTTCGATGTATATTTGTGTGTCTATTCAATGCATTTGTAAATACTGCGTACAATTGAGCTTTCTATATTTTGTATTTGTGTGATTTTCCTTGGCGTGCGCA